ATCTACTTACCAAAATCAACTAATCAACCTTTTCACAATTGTGTTTGCCATGAATAGATGAAAAAAAATTCTAGAGCTTATGGTGATATTTTCACTATTAAAAATATCCTTGATGCAGCCGGCGTAGATTTGAATAGTAATTACTGCAAACTTTGATAATATATATTTGAACCTCTATCGAAATTTATAATCAATCATCTTTCATTTTTTATTATTTATATATAGATATATCAGATGCACCTTCTGCTAATCAAACGGCTGGTGAAACTATTCGATCAGCTGGAATAGTTATTGTTATTGTGATCGAATACAAAAATGTCCCTTTTAAGGTAATTTTGGCTCTTATTTATTTAAAATACCTCAATTAACTAATTTATTTATTTTTTATTTTTTAGATGAATACTATATCTTATAAATATCTTCCTCAAGTAATTGATGGTGATTATTATAAATTTGCAGAAAGCATCTATAGTCCTACTGACAATTCATTTACCATTATAGATAGGCACGGGTAAGCTAAACATCTATTAAATATATTATTTATTAACAATTCTTGCAATTAAATGAATTAAATGCTTAAAAGTTTCTTTGATAATGTTTTTAGCATTTATTTGGTATTTCAACAACATGGATCGATTGGTCAATTCGACTTTATCACTCTTCTTACAAATATTGTTGCTAGTTTTGCGCTCTTTGTGAGTTTTATTATCTTTTTATTATTATGAATTATTATTTGCTACTAACGTTATCTCATTAATCACTATAATATTCCACAGAAAGTTGCAGAGATTCTTACAGAAATAACCATGATAGCATTCTTTGAAGATAGTAAAGGTTACAAATACCACGTTTTTGATCCAAAAAATGTTTAAAAAATTTAATATATTCTTATTTAGTTAGTTACATTATTATTATATTAACAAATAACGCGTAATTAAACCTTGATAGACTAACTTACAAGAATTTATAGCTCAATGAAGCTCAAACGCAGAATTGAAACCGTTTTATATTTTAGAACACATATTATTTAACTCATAGTTATAGCCTTTTAAAAATATAAAAAATTCAGAGTCATTTCAAAACAATATCTGAATAAGAGTCATATCAAAAATAATTTATTTATTACATATTGTACCTATATAAAAAATTATTTAATAAACATGAATCATAATTTAAAGGAATATTTAATTTTGGTTCACGCATCTTACTTTATATGATGGTATACGTTGTAAGGGACTAGAATGACCCTCGGTAAATACTGCGCTCAGACGTAGTATTTAATCCTTTTATCGTTTGTTCTGTTTTTAGTTTATTTATATATAACGCAGATTCGTAAGGTGTATCACTTAGTTTTTGACCAGTTTGTGACTACTTATTTTTATCAACGAAATTCCATCATAAAAGCCAAATTGATAAATTGATACAAATAACTAAAATTTGAATATTATTACAACGAAAAAAATCGCCAGATACCTCTGGAAATTTTTTAAAAAAAAGTATTAATTTTATCGAAGACATTAATGCAAAATAGATAAAATTAATAATAATAAAATAGTTTAAATCATTTCATAAAAAATAAATAAATAAATAAATATGTGTAATATAATTAGATTATAATAAATGTATATATCGCATCATGCTACACTTACAGTATATATCGCACACAATTAAAGATGACCCCTAACAATTGACGAAACATACGATGATGAAACCTATGACAAATTGATGAAACCTATGATGAATTAATGGCGAAACCTTTAATAATTGATGAAACCTTTACAAGTTAATTCAGGCAGTAATATAAACAAAAAAAAAATCAATTCTTTTCTAACAAGCTTTTTTATAATGATCTCTAGATACAATGTATCTAGTGTCAGAAGCAAAATCAGCATATTAAAGAAAGAAGGAACCATGCCTCAAAGTGATTCGCAAAGCTCAAGAACCGATCCAAAGACCCACATATCAAATAGGGCCCGAATTTGCATATAAAGATCCTGTAGGACCAATGATCAGCAAATTTGTGGTTAACCCTGAAAAGATACTGTTAGATAATTAACCTGATTGTCAGAAATGCAGCTTAGAAATAACAATAGGTTAAATTAACTATATCTGAATTAGTTTGTAGCTATGCCTTAATGCCATGATGAGTTTTAAAGTTGTTTGTTTGAAATAACGAAGTAAAACCTTCATTAGAATCATTTTTCTTTCCTTTATTTTCTTTTTTGTTCTTTTTCTGATGTATCTGAATTTTGTTTAAAATAGATACAAGTTTGACAAAAAGTAGTCTTTTATACAAATTATTGTAATACAAGAATTATATAAAAAATAATAATAAAATGTTATTATATAATTAATATATACTAAATATAGTTATATTAATAGTATTAATATATATAAAATAACTAAAAAATATAAAAAATATACTATATCTACTATATATTAAAGATATAATAATTGTAAAAGAAATAATAGTTATTGTAGATCTTAAAAATCTAATAGATTATTTAGAAATTTAAAATCTTTTAGATTTGTAATATTTTGGGTACAGAAATAAAGTAGATTATTATACAAACATATAATTGCTATAGGTTATACAATTTAGAACTTTTGTATATTAGCATCTAGTTATAAAATTTGAATAATTTTTAACTTGTTAGATTTGTCTTAGTAAGAAAATTCTAATAGTATATGTTTCATCAAAATTGGACTAGTAGATAAAAAGTTATTCTCAATAGAAGTTATTTTACTTATAATAATATAAAACTAAAATAATATATAGTAAATACTAGCTATTAGAAATATTAAATATTTAGTTTAGTTTAGTTTTAGTTTATTCTAGTTCAATATAGCAATATTAATTATTTCATTACAGATAATTGATAAATTATTACATTTAGACTAATATAAATTAAATAATTAGTTACTAATTTTATTTAAAATTCACTAATTAGAGTTCTATTAATTACTTAATTAGTGATAAAATATCTGTAAAATTACTGCTAATAAAAATATTTTTCTTAATTTATTTTTAATTAAATTTTATTTAATATATTAAAATAAATACTTATTTATATCAAGTAATTTTTAACTAGTTTGAACTAGTTCTTAATAGTTCTAGTTCAGGACTAGTACTGAACTAGTTCTTTTTAGACTACTTAATATTTCTACTAGCTATATAAAATATTATTTTGATCTATCTAAAATAAATATAATATATTAACAAAAACAATAGCATTAAATAGCTAATAGAATATTCTTATTTTACTATTGTTTTTTGATCACAATAATTATATATCAAGAACAATATTTTGGATAGCTAATATTTACTATATATTATTTTATCTCTGCTTATATGTAGTAAGAAAGAGTTCTTAAAAACTTCTTATAAAATAATTTAATATAGTTCTACAGTACTATATATATACTAAGTTTATAATAATTTTTAAAAAAAATTTATTATACATAAAAATATATACAAAAAGGTTTAAAAATTGATACTAATACATAAAATAATTGTTAATTGATTACCTAAAAGTATAAGATAATCTGCAATTTGTATTTAATATGAAAATATAGCTCAAAATAAAATTACGATCTAGGCTAGTCTAATTAACAATTAGTCTAATTTTTATTTAAGCTATAACATATTTATTAGATTGTAAGTTAATATGTAAAATTTTGAATTATTATATTTTAATTCAAATATATAAATTTAGTGTATAATGCTTAATGAGATTACTAATATATTTGATATAAGGTGAGTCAGTAGAAATACTGCAGATCTTTTTTAGTAAAATATTTTTTCAACTTTAAATAAAGATAACTCGATGAGAATTATTTAAATTAAATAAAATTTCTTTTAAATAAATTCTATAAGATTTTAGAATTAATTTAAAAAAAAATTATTAAATATAATTAAGTTCTTGTTAAGATTTTGAGTTTAAAGTTTCAAAAAAATTTACTGAAAAATTTGGTTTATTTCTATCAACTAACTTCTATATATCTAGAGAATATATAATGTATACAACAAGATATAAAAATAATACTATATTATTAAATTTGAATCTACTTAGAGATAAAAATAGATTCTAAAACTTCAATTAATAATTGAATCATATAATCAATTTATAATCGATAATTAAATCCTAAATATATATTATTATTAATATTAATCTTGAGCAATATCTTGAATATAATAATTCTAAAATAATAGATTTTAGAGTATTAGAATACTGTACAAAGTTTTTAACATTATTATTTTAATTTATCAGTTTTAGAAGCTAGATCTATTGAGTCAATTATCTAGATATTCAAATAATTTCTGGATATTCAGATATTGATTGTATTATTCAGATAATATCTGGATGATATTGGTCTGCAGCATGTGTTGAGCAGCATTAAGAATAGTTCAAATAGTATTGAGTAGCATTAAATATAAGCTGAGTAGTGTAAGCAGTATTTAAGAGATTTCAAAACTAGAATGTATATGAAAAAAGAGTATAATATAGTACATTATCTGGATACTAATAGAATAAAATTTGAATAATATCCAGATACCAAATTCAAAAACTATATACTTAAAATTTAATAAAAAACAATATATTTTATATTTAACAATATATATAGGCATCAAAAAAATTAAGCATAATAATCTTAAAATATTTAACTAAAACTAAAGGCTAGGCCAAATAACTCATAAAGTTTAAAAACAAAAAAACTATTTTTAAAATAACTTAAAATAAATAAAAGTTCATTATAATTAAAATGATTATATACTTAGAATTGATTCTAATTCAAGAATCAATTCAAAAATATGTAATCATTTCTAGAAATGATTATAGTAGTTTGCAAAAAAGTATAACCCTATGATTTTTGTGATAATAATAGTAGGAAATCTTTATGATTTTAATTAGAGAATCCAAATTTAGAATTAATGTAAATTAATATATTAAATTATGCTTTAAATTATAGTTTCAATTAGTAAATATATACAAAAAATATATTATTATAAAACTTATATTTTAATATTTATTTTTTTATAAACATATTTTTTTTTATCTTTCTTTACATAAATATCTCTTGATATTTGTTTATAATAGCTGAGGTTTAAAAAATAAAGCTAAAATATCATAGAAGAACCTGTTTGAGTTGTCAAAAATACTTGTATTGTGAAATTGACTTACAACAAAAAAGGTGTAATTGCAATTTATCTGATATGCTACATAGAGGTAATTGGACTGCAGCTATCAAAAATACTTTTATATAATTATTCAGTTCAAATTGAGCAAAAGAGCAAATAGAATATATTTGTCAAAAAATAGCACTTTATAATTACTCACTAAATCTAAAAGAAGCTTTTAATTTTTCTATATGTTCTTAGTGCAATAGCTATTTTTTAAGATTGTCTTCAAAGACAAAAAAATTGAAAACAACATTAAATTTGAATCTACTAAATTCTAAAATTATGAATAATGATAGCTTTTTAAAAATTAAAATGTATAATTTTACTACTTTGATGAGTAAACTTCCTGAATCTATTAAATATATGAATAGAGGTCTAATGAAAGAGATTGTGAAAAGGAATATAATAATAAGGATTATATTGATAATGAGTCTTTATCTAATAACAATACTAATATGAATATAATTATTAAATTTTTATTAAGTTGGAAAATAGAACATCTCTTCTAGCAAAATAGTTTATAGCTAAAGTATTAGCTATAGACGAATTACTTTCTGAAATTTATATAAATATTGAAACTTTAATAAGAACAAAACCAATCGAACCAACTAATTATCATATTGCATTTAAGTCTGAAAAAGCTATAAGAGCGAGTACTTAATTAGTAGTTACTCAAGACTTTAAAAAATT